GACCACATGTCTCTAGATCGCGCTTTCACCTGCATAGAGTTTTGGTGATCAGGTGCTCATTACTATTGCCCAAGCTGCCGCCACCGGTACTAGCGGCTACACCATCTAACGACGAAAAATTCGGAGCTATCTTTAACTGCGGCAGTGCAAAAGACTGGTAGTTTGGAATAGGACGTGGCTTCTGAGTGGGCATTTCCATCAATATTTTGTAGAACCTGGTTTATTCGGAATAGTACAAAATCAGCAAGCTATGAAAATGGCAACCGTGCTCGATGAGTTTCTACAGGAACTGAATGAATGAAGTTGGCGGAAGTGGAACGAGCGGAACACTGGAGGAGAAATGGCTGATAATTTTTGTGTTAAATGGTGTACATCGGCATCGACTATCCAATTAAAATTGCGGTCATTAGGAGTTAACCTACCAGGTTCGTTTGTTACTATTATTTCCTAATTGAAGTTGTCCACGCGAGTGTTGTACTTTGGTTCAGTTATATCTTTGCTACTCGCACTATTTAAGTAGGCGTAAATATTTGAACTGTTGACCTGTCAAGCTGCTGAAGAGAGCCGGCAGATGAAGAGTAGACTGCGAGGTGCTCTTAATTTTAGGTTGTTGCAAAGTAGTGAGAGATGAACAACATGTTTATTGTATCAAGATAACACGTGGAAACTGAGGATAAATTCCATAGAGCTACTAGGTTGTAGTAAAACAGTGGGCATTCAAGTATGGATATTTATTCGTCTCATTCAGCATTCAAACTGGTTTCCTGTATGCTCCAGTTGTAATCTTCATTTAGAAATGGTTTGAGATTCAACCCAAAAATTTAGAATCCAGTTATAGCACTACGAGTGGCTAGTTAGACTAAGGGGCACTAAGTTTGAAACTAATGGATAAAATTTAAAATTGAGACTATTTTACCTTGTCTGTGTTAAACTGTCTCCCGTCGATTATGTGGGGAAACTTCAACCACTCTATAGGTCCTACAAAGTTACAAAATTGTGTTTGACTTAAATTTGAAGTAAGAAGCGTGATCTGTCGACGTTTTTTCATTACTTCCAATCGGAATAGGTGAACTTAGTTCGAAAAGATTTCAAACGATTACACATGACTGTCTGAATTTGATTCACATGACCACCTCATGGAATTACAACAGCATTAATTCCCTATAGCCGTTGTAGGAAGCAAGCAAAATCAGTCGTTATAATACAGATGTAGCCATATGTTGTAAAGGCCATCAGCCGATTTCCTGGAGGTGCTACTGGATTCACACTGTCTTATTAGACTATGAGTTATTACAGGGAGGTTTGCTAGGTATGGGAGGCGTTGTAAAATGTGAACTTTAATTCCCTTAAACAATGCGATTTCTAAGAACGCCACTGTTGGATGTCACCATACCTAGTGTGATAAGATCGAGTTGATGGATTATTTCTAGTTTGTCGGTGTTAGGCCGCTGTGAATGGCAGGATATCTACACAACGAAACCCCTCACTAATTGACACCTTCCGGAAAAACTAAAGTTTGCTAAGTGTGCCATCTTCAGTGGTTTTTGCAAAAGTACTCAAAAATACTCGTATGGATTTACCTTGAGCTTGTCCTTTAACATGAGACATGCGGTCCATTAATCATATTAGTTTCGTCTCTGCTGTAAAAACCACAGTCCAGTGAATTGAAGTCGCTCCTACTCAGTAACTTACCATTTTGCCAATATTTCATTCCCTTCACAGATGTCATAATGACAATCAGATCGTGTCGGTCAATTTTCTCATACGTATATTGCAAAAAATGTAACGTCCTTCACCCAAGCGTGTGCAATTTGAATACTGTTACAGATTCACTTTATAACTCATAGCTTTATGCTCACAAATTCGGTTTTTGAATCAGTGAAGCACGGCCAATTTAGACGCAGGAGCCCAACTCGCGTGCAACAGTAGTTTTTATCCATAAAACCTGTCTTATTTTTAACGCTCCTCTGCCTTTTCTAATCAACACATTTTTCAAGTGTCCCTCGTTTTCGTTGAGTTAGATTTGCGGAGAAATCTTCTCGGATCTTTGGTCGTAATATCTACGGAACATTTAGTCTGAGAATATAGTGAGTTTTTTGGATTTTCTGAATTGCACGATCATTGTGTCGTTCATTCAAAGCGTTTCTACAAAAAGTAATCTGTTCTGGGAATACGATAACAATTTCTCAGCCATACTAAACTGTCGTCACAATGTTGCCTCTGGAACTATCTCTCAGCTACTTTTCTGAATTATCATTGTTTCGTTCATTCAAAGCGTTTCTACAAAAAGTAATCTGTTCTGGGAATACGATAACAATTTCTCAGCCATACTAAACTGTCGTCACAATGTTGCCTCTGGAACTATCTCTCAGCTACTACAAACTAGTTCCTCGAAGAAGTCCGATGGCGTCTGACGCTCTCTGCTCTGGTAGACCTAGTTTATGTTTCTAGTGACGTTTCACCAAATAAATTTGCGCCAAGGGTTAATTAATCAATGTTTTCAAAACGAGTTACCTTTCTATGCATTGTCTAGAACCAAGCAAGCACGATTCTTTATTTCCGCCTATCCTTCAGCACATGGATTTCGATGAAGCTGGAATCGGACGAGAGGACATTCGCACATGGATTAAGCATTGCCGGACACCACGAGGTTTGCGGATAGTGGATTATATAGATGACGATCCGTGGGCAGCCACTATTCTGTTGACCAACTTTAGTGCCAACGCAGACCTACTCCGCCAACTGGAAACTGGCTGTCGTACTGAACCGGAGGCCTACCGAATGGAACGACTTCAACGAAGGCGTAACTGGGAGACTATTATTGATGTGCGCCGAGAACCCACAGTTCGATCAATTGGTTTGAGTCGAACACACAGTGAAACGGATTCGATTTCAACAGCGTGTACAAACGTGGATGAGGATCAGTAATACCCCCCTAGAAACCTTCCAAAACTTTTTATTTGTTCAAAACATTATCGGGCATTTCATTACATCACATCCCGGACATCATCTTGAGATAAAAACGGGTAGAAAAAGAACCTGGTTGACGAAGAAAGAAAAGTACGGCATCTTTTTGCAGCTCTGTGCAAGGTTGTTTCTTATTTGTGTTAGATCAATACACCCTAGCGCTGGCATCATGTGCGCAACCTATTTTCACGGTATGTTTTCAGCTAGAACACGGTGATCGATAAATGGCATTGATCCGTCAAACAATTGTGAAGATTGCTACCGTACACCGTTTCGGTGATGACACATGCTCATCTCTTCATTACTGTAAATACTCTGCTATACCTCAAGATTATCTGAATAACAAAGAGTTGAATTCAAAGCTTGTTTTCATTTTACAGTTTCTGGGCCATTGGTTGTGAAATTTGAATAAACAATTTCCTCTGGAACTCGTAGAATGAATGGAGATTGACTATTCCAAATGGGGATGATGAATCAAAGGTAATGGTAAGGACTGATCTCCAAACCTTTGCCAACACACAAAAATTGCTGCGAATTTGGCAAGTGATCATTTGCCCTTTGGGAACCGTTCCAGTCGTAAACACGTTGAACGGGTTTTACACCTATAGTGGGGAGTTCGTGGCAATCGAACGTGTAGACAAAACACATTCAGTTGCCTGATAACATCACAAACGAGGGATTCGGCTGGGTTCCAGATGAGTCTCTCGAAAAGCCAAATTAGTTTGCAAATGAGTGTATATTCGCTAATTTCGTGCATTTTGGTTTCAAATAGAACATGAGGTCGACGGAAACCCGGGGACTGCGCCTAATTGATGAGCCCCAAAAGGGCAAAACCGGTCGTGGGCTGTCGATGGAGTTTCAGCAACCTTATGAGTAGTACAATACAAAGATATACATGTATTACTATATCTCGAATATCGTAGCTACCGAAACATGAGGCGGCCTGGTGAAGCACATTCAGTTGTCTGAGAACATCACAAACGAGAGATTCAGCTGAGTTCCAGATAAGTCTCTCGAAAAACCAAATTAGTTTGCAATTAAGTGTATATTCGCTAAAAATAAGAATCCATTGGAAACTGAAACTTTTTCTTCAAAATCGCGTTTTGAGCGTGAGTGAAAAACGGTTTCTGGAATGTTGACTTGAGAACGAATCAACAATATCCATGTTTTTTTTTACCACACTCTGAATTCCGGATGAAAAGTTCTTTTGGCCTTAAATGGTGCGTAAACCGGTTTACTTTCTACCGTGCTGCTTACACCTTAGTCCGGACATTTGAATGTCAACTCTGATCTTATCTCCACGTAATGGGAGTGACTAATAAAACCACCTCATCCGGGCTACAGAGATATCCCAAAAATCAGTTCAACAACAGAGTTAATCCGATTATATATTCTGGGTATCAGTAAGTTGGATGACCAAGCTGAGGATGACTATGGCCATTCACAGAAAGAATTCCTCCATCAGGGAGGGAAAACTTCAAAGTAAACACAATTGGAGACGGTTTTCAGACAAGAAACAACCTCTGACAGCGAGTATAATAGAATCTGGATTTTCACAAAGGAAGCTACTCACAAGGTTGCTGAAAACTCTTCGATAGCCCACGACCGGTTTCGCCCTTCCTGGGGCTCATCAGGTAGGCGCGGTCCCCGAGTTACCGTCAACCTTATGTTCCACCCGAACCCGAATTGGACTGTTTTCGAGAAATACACTCTCTCGTGAAAACCAAATTGATTTGCAAATGAATGTATTCCCCGGGAATCTGAATTTGTTGAAATAAGGAAAATAGACTGAGTTGTACTGTATCTCAACACCAGCGCTCCTGTAAATTTTTATCTTGGATTTGAGACAAGTAGAAAAATACATTGTGAAAATGGTGCACAATTTCGGTCAAAAGCTTCAAGCACTAAAAGTTCAGACAGGATTTCCCTACTACATTTGAGTAGACCCGCACGATCAGAACTCGGTCACTTCCTTTGAAGCCCATGACAACTTAGCCAAGCTCTGACAGCTAATTGGTATATGGTGTAAAGACGTCTGCCTGAGTGCAAAAAGTTGTGTTTAACGCGTAACACGAAAGCTCATCAAGTTTGTATATGACTGTTTACAAAAGTAATGCCGTAACGGAAAAACCGTGGCTGTCATCAACGAAGGACTTGTGGTATACACCAATTTGAAGGCAGACTTGGAGATTGCGAAAATTATAGGCACTTTGGTGAATAAATCACGAGTATGACCAGCGTAAATGCTTTCTAGTAGACAGATATATTGCTTCGCGAATAAACACCGAGAAATGGTTTTGTATTTTGGTCAATGTGTACTGGAACAGCTGGGACGATTGCAGTGGCGAAGAGACTGGAAATTAGCCAAAGTGCGACACTTTGTGTACAGCAGTGATCCAGTGAGCTATGAGGGAGAAATCCCATACTCAAAAACAACAGATGGTGTCCTACTGGACTGGTCAACGGACAGACGTCGGACGAACACATTATCCTGAACTTCGTGTTGTGAGGGTTAGAAGAAAATTGGTGATAGTCACCTTGTAAGTTGGACTACATTCACGGTTTTATTCTACTCACCCCTGCCTTGTGGTCAGGTTTTTCACCCGTGGGTGTTGGTCGAGCACAACTACCTGACTTTGAGCACCCTGACAGAAGTTCAGCTCGGCTGTGATATTGAAGTGCGCAACTAAAACCACTGCCACACTATGCGAACATCTAAGTAACCAGACCGGAAAACGACTGCTGCATCCACTTTTTATTGGTGGAAGTTAGCCATATTTATAAAACCCGAATATAAATCACAATCAAAGGAAGTGAATTTGCGTGTCATGCTTGTTACCCAGATGCTATCAACCACGAATTTCGGGTGGCTCTGCAGCCGTTGTAGCGGTTTCTGTTGCTGTTGATGTATCTTTTTACCTCGAACCTAGTGTTTGCTGTAAACAGCCGATTATTTACCGAAAGGGTCTTATACCGGTTGAACTATCAACCTCTATTCATTTTGTGTGAACCAACAAACTTTGGCGTCTAAACGAACGGCGCACTTGTTTAGAGACGTACATGTATGGTCGTTGTTTCTAGATGTTTCAGTTCACCACAGACAGCTCCTGGTGACACGGCATTAAAGTGTCAGTAATTAAAGAAGGTTCGATGCTTCGTATAGACGTAACACACTACTCATTAGGTTGCTGAAAACTCCCCGACAACCCACGGCCGGTTTCGCCCTTCTTGTGGTTCATCAGATAGGCACAGTCCCAGAGTTTCCGTCAACCTTATGTTCTGCTCGGACTTATATTTCACGAATTTCTACTTATACTCTCATTTGCGTACCAGTTTTTTGGCAGGATACTCACCTGGAGCCCAGCCGAAAATCTCGTTTGTGGTGTTTCCAGGTGACTGAATGTGCTGCACCTGACCGCCTCATGTTTCAGTTGGTATGATATTCGAGATATCGTGATACGGTGAATGGACGTAATACATTACTCATAGGGTTGCTGAGACCTCTCCGACAGCCCACGACCGGTTTCGCGATTTCTCGAATATTGTACTAAGTGGAACATGAGGCAGCCTGGTGCAACACATTCAGTTGCTTAAGAACAGGATGGAGGAAAAATTCAGCTGGACCCCAGGTGAGTCTGTCGTCACTCATTTAACTAGCAGAACTTCCGGTCGAGAAGCCTGGGTTGGGTCTGTTCAAGGCAATGTGTAACAACGCGGACTTGTGTTTGGGCGCTTTCAAGTTTACTGTTGGTTGCCAACTTGACAACCCACATATTTGTCTCACGAATGGAACTGATACATTCTGAAGCGGAAAATTCCTGATCCATTACCGCGGTGGCTTTAGCTCATGCATCGAATTGGTGAGGATCGGCCAGTCAGTCCTCCTTCAGAAAACTTGGAAGAAAAAGTTTGATGTGGTTTTTACGAACGTGCCACTCAATGACTTCATATATTGGGATTTAGATACGTCTGCCGCAAACAAAATATCTAGCACCACTTGTCAGTATGCGTCTATATGATATGTCCACGAAGCCAGTAACATGCAACTATTCCGTGCATATGACTAAGTCAGATCCACCAAACCTAAAATGTGACTGTCGACACTTCTTGTTAGGGGCTGTTTCAGCGTGGACAACTCACGTTTCACTTCTTGATACAGGTCTTCACTAAAGTACTTCTATTTACTTTTACCTGAGTTATACTTTTCCGTCAACGACCCTGGATCAAACACGTGTTCACAAAGTCCTCCAGTTACTGGGTGTGAGTAGCCAAAGTAACTGGCCTGCTATCTTCAATATTGACGTGAACATATAACAATGGTTCGCAGGCAAACTGCCAAACTTATGAACATTAGCATGTTTGAGGATTCTGTTGGATGAAGCGGAGAACTGCATTCTATAGGATCTGTTCACCTGCTTCAAGCCTTGTTGCTCATCGTTTCTGAACTCGGATCACTTGTGGAACCTCGTTACCGATTGCGTCATTCGGAACGATGGTCCTTCAAGTCAAATGTCCGCATCAAGAAAGTCAACCCAAACCCGGCTGACATTTGCAACCATGCTGTCTTCAAGCCCGCACTGACTGCAATGCAGACAGAATGAACGTCCTATAACAAGGTCGCATGGATCGATGTAATCAAGTCGGTCCCGCACTAGACAAGGCATGTGGGTGCGCAAGAATCGCGGACTAGGGCTAACGACCTGTTGGTGGCACATTCCGCAAACCAACAGAGGAGATGGTCATCTGACTTGTGCAGGACGCGCAGTAAGTTGGAAGTTTGGAGGTGACAAAAGTAAAGCTAAAAAAAGTCAAATTTGTAATTCATTATGAACTGGAGGAAAAGTAAACGTTTGCTCATACTGACTTCAACTCCTCACATCAGAAGGCAGAATTAGTTACCATCGTACGACGAAAGAACCCCTTTGCTTGATATCACCGATTCAGTACGCTAGAAACCTGCTGTGACGGCATCAGTCGGACAGGCGCTGAGTTTCTATCGTTTTGGAAATGCACTAGGTAACGAGCAAACGGTATCTTCGAGTGACCTCCGGGAAGGCAAAACGAAGTCGGGGCTGGGTTTCTATACGGTACTATTAATGTGAGACAAAATTATAAATTACACAAACCTCGACAGTTGACACTCGTCCAAAACAAATTGTCCACTTGGACCACAAAAGTACGAGTAAACAGGCTCCCACGTGGGACAGTCACACGTGCACCAAGTCGCCCACAAATGGCTGGATAACCTCAGGGACAAATGAGTGAAGTGGTAAGGACAAACAAACGTCACTTCATATACACGCACCAAACAAAAAAGTGGAGCGGGGT